AAGACCCTGCTGCACACTGAGGCCTGCTCGCCCTGAACCCTAAACCCTAAACCCTAAACCCTAAACCCTAAACCCTAAACCCTAAACCCTAAACCCTACACCCTAAAACCCTACACCCGAAAACCTAAACCCTAAACCCTAAACCCTACACCCTAAACTCTAAACCCTAAACCCTAAACCCTACACCCTACACCCTAAACCCTAAACCCTAAACCCTAAACCCGAAATATCCCTAAACCCTAAACCCGAAATAACCCTAAACGCTTAGATGGCCTCTGCGGCCTCCTTCGCCTTTCTGACGTGCTCCGCCTGGCTTGGGGAACTCCAAGAAACTCTTAAAAGGGTTTAGGGTTTAGGGTTAGGGTTTAGGGTTTAGGGTTTAGGGTTTAGGGTTTAGGGTTTAGGGTTTAGGGTTAGGGTTTAGGGTTTAGGGTTAGGGTTTAGGGTTTAGGGTTTAGGGTTAGGGTTAGGGTTCAGGGTTCAGGGTTCAGGTTTCAGGGTTTAGGGTTTAGGGTTTAGGGTTTAGGGTTTAGGGTTTAGGGTTTAGGGTTTAGGGTTTAGGGTTTAGGGCTAGGATTTAGGGGGTTCGTGTGTGTCCATACACCCCACTAAGGTTTAGGGTTTAGGGCCTAGGGATAGTATGCACGGTAGATGATCCCAATGCTAGGGATCATTTGCTCTCCCAATGTCTGTCAAGTTGGGATTCCGAGAAAGCGATGCAATTTGGCCATCTGAGCGTGCGGCGAAGATATGTGTGTACACATACCGGTACATGTACCTATGCAACTACGTATACATGTACAAGTACATATACATTGCTTTCATCTGTAAAAAAAAGCCGGGAAGTAGAAGGGCGCAGCACATTCAGAGTTTTGTTGGCTTTGGGCCTTGGGATCACAGGAGATTTCCAGCTCGCAGTCTGAAGCAGCCCCCCCCCCCCCCCACATTCGTCGGAACCCACGTTGGTTTCGGGTTTGTGGTTTTGGTTTTAGGGTTTAGGGTTGGGGATTTAGGATTTAAATAAGAATGCTCGAATTGACCGAGCGCTTCCGTAGTGCTGCGAACTGTCAGGACACTTCCAAGGGGACATGAGGAAGTTGGGTTAGGGTTTAGGGTTCGGGGTTTAGGGGCAGCCAAGCAGTGAGGAAGGGTGAGAACACTAAACATGGTCTTTGAGGCAGGCGAGAGGCAGGGTTTGTTGTGGAGATCGGTTCCACTTTGCTACTGGCGTTTAAGATCCCCGCCTGACCACTCAGAACAAGCTCATGATGGACCATAAGCCCTTTGAGTTCAGAGTCCTTAAACCCTAAACCCCTAATCCCTAAACCCTAAACCCTAAACCCTTAACCTAAACCCTAAACCCCAAACCCTAAACCCTAAACCCTCTTCATGGGAGAAGCGGCTTAGGTGTAGTGGCTGGTCTGTCGGGACTGCCTCCCTTTCAAACTCTTCATCGGCAAGCTCCTGCTCCGTTGGCCTGGATAGGCTCATCAAGCTATAGGGTTTAGGGTTTTGGGTTTAGGGTTTGGGGTTTGGGGTTTGGGGTTTGGGGTTTAGGGTTTAGGGTATGCCTACAGTGGCTTACACGCCTCAAACAGCCTATACACCTAGCCCTGAACACCCCCTTCAGGATTCAGGGAGTCTTGCACTTAGGCCCTAGCCTCTTCCCCTTTCCATAGTCAAGAACCGGCCAGATTCTTGGGTCACGGGTCCTGACCGTCCTGACACCACTGTCCAAGGACTGTCCTTAATCCTACTCTATAATTGCACCCCCCCCCCCCCCCCCCCCTCCCATCCACACAGACACAATACAAACACAAATGCGAGCGACTTGCACGCTACCCCGGCATGATGGGACGTTATGGCCTTTCTCGCCCGCAAGAGAGAGAGAGAGAGAGAGACGAAGCGATCACTTTTTCCCCCATCGGCTTGTGGACCGTCAGGCGTAGATCATTGCAGACTCCTAAGGTTTCCGGGATTCGGATGACAGCTTGGACCCGTCCCCAAACCCTAAACGCACCAAACGTGACCTGCTGTTAGGGACCCTGCTGTGGATGTGTATGTTAGGTCATGGGCCTTCTCATGGCAAATTGTGAGCCCTAAATCCTAAACCCTAAACCCTAAATCCTAAACCCTAAAGCCTAAACGAGCTTAGCTGCTTTAACGGGAACCCAGTCACAAGCTGCTCCAGACCAAGATATGCTGGCTTCGCCAGGAAGGGTAGCAGGAGACCGCCATGGTGCAGGGTTTGGGGTTTGGGGTTTAGGGTTTATTGTGGCGATACCCTGTTCAAGAGGCCCCTTGCGTTGCGTGAGCACCGCATGTGGTGCCTGAAAACTGAACACCTGCGGGGAACATTCCTTGACCAGCTGCAGAATGCAGCTGGCGCTCTGCAAACACCCTTTGCGAGGCCTATCGTGACTTCACCACAGCGAATCTAGGGGATTCTACCTGGAGCCTTAAGGTTGTACCCTTGGGTTTTGGGGACCCCTTTTAAAGATCCTTAAATCAATATAAGGGCCATGTTAGGAGTACATTAAGGGGGAGCCTGTAGGGGTACAACCTTAGGGGTACGAGTCTCAAAACTCTAAACCCTAAACCCTAAAAGATTAAAACATAAACCCTTTAAAGCCCTGCTGTTCTCTTGCGGGCTGTGAGCGAGGTCAGGGCCTTGCTGGAAAAAGGAAGGACCAAAGCCAACGACTCAGAAGAGCTGAGGCCGTCCACGATACCATGTAATATAGGGGACTCAATTCGAATAGGGCTCAGGGTTCAGGGTTCAGGGTTCAGGGTTCAGGGTTTAGGGTTTAGGGTTTAGGGTAAGTTTTTTTTTTTTTTTTTGGGGGGGGGGAGGGGGGCCGGGTGATTGTAGTATAGTTATATAGGGACCACAAGGGAATACTTTTAAGCTACTACTAGTATTTCTTCCGACCCCCGTCGACCCTATACGTAGCACAGTGGCTTTTTGTTTCGGAGTCTTGTCTGACGGCCTTCTTTCGCTTCCAAAGCACGAAGCATCCTCCTGGGGGCTTAGGACCGAACCCGAACGCATCTAATATAGGGGCCAAAATAATGAGAACAGGGTTTGGGGGGTTAGGATGGAAAATTTGGAAAAGGACCATCAGGGAATACTATTAATTAGTAACTACTCCGACACCGATAGAATGCTTCTGCACGTGGTGTGACAACAGCTGAAAGCTGCTTTGAGCCACGGCAAGTCCGCCTTGAACCTCATACAGGCTACACATTCCCAAACACTAAGCCCCAAATCCATCAAGAATGCCCGAAGCCCAGCCTACTTTGAAATGGAGCACGACGCAATCGCGGCTGCGGGCAAGTCAGAAAACCTAGTTGCTCAGTACCCTGGGCCCAAAAATAGGTCAGCCTTTGAATTTCGGGACCCCCAAAATAGACCCCAAGTAGCAGGATCCCCTTATAAGAAGGACCTCAATAAAGTACCCCTAGTTTCGGAAACCCCCATATACCCCAAAAGGTTAAAGGTTACCTAATTCCTCAGCTAGTAAGACAAGAACACCCCTTCGAACTGGAACTGCTCCAAGCCCTAAACCCTAAACCCTAAACCCTAAACACTAAACCCCAAACCCTACACCCTAAACCCTAAACCCTAAACCCACACCCGAGGCCGCACAGCATCCGAAAGCACTCCCATGGTCACCTCCCTGGAGGACCAGCGAGTAGACATTCCCAAAGGCTCCCATGTAGTACCTTTTTGCGTACTAGAAACCCCTTTAACTAACCCAAAAAGGAACTACATTGGAGCCTTCCGGTAGGGATGAGAAGTCCCTTGAAAGGGTACGTGAACTCCACATCGCACCACCTGTTCTAGACCACCGATCCTCCACATCACAGGTCACTTTACCAAGTGCTTGCTGATTCTGACAGTCGGGTAGAGAAGTGGATCTAGATCTTCCGGCGCTACTCTGAGATACCGCTGCAACAAGGCCATGAGGGCCGTACATCTGAAGACGGCGCCGTCTGACACACTGCTGCAACACGGCCATGACGGCTGTACATCTGAAGAGCTTCGGGAGGCTGGTCGGGACATTGCTGGTCGTTTGGACCGCTGGGCAACATCCGACCCTCTGCCTGAGAGCCTGCTCAGGCACGCAGATATTCTCGCTGCTTGTTGCTTCTGGGGTCGGGCTCGCAAGGTTTGTACATGTACCCTTTCTCGTACCGTTGGGCTCGCAGATTTGCACATGTACCCTGTCTCGTACCGTGTCGTGGATATGGGCCCCTTCACGTTTGCAGCGAATCGCTGTGTTTGTCTTTTCGGGTGCTCACTTGAAGGATCATGTATCTAGCAGAAGCGGCAAAATCAAAGTCTACAATGCCAAAAATCTAAAAACGCATGTGCTCCTCAAAATTCAACATGCGTACTCATTGCTACGATTAGCCATTCGAGCGTAGTTGATTCGACGAGCTTTGCAATCTCTACGGTAGTCTGCTGGCTTGGAAGAAAGCTACCGACCAAGCGGGAAAAAACAAACAACAGCTTAACATATACACTCGACACGCAGGCTTGTATATGTGTACTATATATGTATATGTATGTGCATATATATATATATATGTATAATTATTTATTTGCTTATTTATTCATTTGTTGTTTATTTATTTATTTATTTATTTATTTATTTATTTATTTATTTATTTATTTATTTATTTATTTATTTATTTATTTATTTAACTCTAAGTGGATTTCTGCACATACGACATATGTGACTAGATAGATATGAATGTATGTGTGCCTGTCAGAACTTGCGTTCCATGTGCGCTTCGGACTTTTCAGGTGCAAACCCCTTTGAGTGTTCAGAGATTCTCATACAAACTTGCCTAGTCTGCCTGAAGGCTTCTGGCTTATGTGTATCAGTATCTATATGCGATAGTCGCAGCTACATCGGGGCAGAAGACGGCGAAGCTTGCAAGCAGCTGCTCCATGTGTGGAGAGTCTAAAATTCGAAGATTCATGTCCCGCGTCAGGCGCTGAACTCAGCGTAGCAGTCCTCGCCAGAGTACTCACGCAGACCTCAAATTCCTCGACCCCTGGCCCGAAACCCTAAACCCTAAACTCTAAACCCCAAACCACAAACCCAGAGTTTAGCGTTTAAGGCGTAGGGTTTGTGGCACAACCCCTTCAGGATGTTAGGTGTTACCCTAAACTTCCTGGGACCTGATTTGTTTCCTAGACCGCTTAAGGACTATTGATTAGGTCCCTGGAAGTACGGGATAAACCCTAAACCCTAAACCCTAAACCCTAAACCCTAAACCCTAAACCCTAAACCCTAAACCCTAAACCCTAAACCCTAAACCCCAAAACTGAACCCCCAACCCGATGTCTTCACGTGCCAAGTGCTTTCTCATGAGCTGCCCCTGATCAACGAACCCCGGGACCAACGGAAATATGACTCAAAGACCTGCAAGCAAGAATCTCTCTACAATCATGTCCGTCTCCCAGAAAGACTCTCTCCTAAATCCTGGTAGTCTCTCCAAAGAGAGAGGTTTCAATAAATGTTCGTCTCCCGAGAATGATTGAGGAACACTCCCGAATATTCCCTTGCTTTAATGGTCGAGTCGTTGGAGGCTAGGATAGCCCTTAAAAGCCCATGACAAATATTCCTAAATCGGAGCTTCTTCAACCCAAGAAGGGAAAACAACACATATCCCAAGGGTTGCAGGGTTTAGGGTTTGGGGTTTGGGGTTTGGGGTTTAGGGTTTAGGGTTTAGGGTTTAGGGTTTAGGGTTTAGGGTTTAGGGTTTAGGGTTTAGGGTTTAGGGTTTAGGGTGAAGACCACGAGCCTCCTCCAGAGTCGGTTGCCGCACCCTGGATCGCAGGAAGAAGTACCACAGCCTGGGTTTCAGGGAGTCTGGAGCCTAGGGTTTGGGGTTTAGGGTTTAGGGTTTAGGGTTTAGGGTTTAGGGTTTAGGGTTTAGGGTTTAGGGTTTAGGGTTTAGGGGACGTATAGTCACTTTGCAGAGAAAAGATGGTGGGTCTAGTAACTAGGGTTTAGAGGGTCTAGGGTTTGGGGTTTGGGGTTTCAGGGTTTCAGGCTTCAGTTTCTGAGGAGGGATGGGCATTGAGGGGAGGCGAGTTGTTTTTCTTGGGTATGCGGCTTCGGCTATGTGGCTTTTTCGAAACTGCGCAAAAACTCGACCCAGGAGGAACCTGGGAATCAAGAGGGTGCCCCTTTTTTGGTTTAAAGGGGGTTATAACGGAACGTAAACCCTAAGAAAGGGCAGAAGGGGCCTACTCTGCGTCCTAGTAGCCCTAAACCCTAAACCGTAAACTACCAAAAAAGGGAAGTAGGGCCTGCTCTGGATCCTAGAAAAGCTAGGGCGTGCGAGAATTAAGCTAGGCAAAGCTGAAGTACACCAAAGCTGGGCGAGCGATCTGAAGGCTGAGCGAAGGGGTTTGGGGTTTGGGGCTTGGGGTTTGGGGTTTGGGGTTTAGGGTTTAGGGTTTAGGGGGAACATGTCGACCCCACACGACAAGGCACAACCCAGGGCACCCTTAATTCAGGCTTTGGCACCGAAAGGGTTCAGGGTTTCGGGCTTCAGGCTTAGGGTTCAGAGGATTTTAAGTCAGCTGCATACCTAAAGGCTCCTATGTAGCTACCTTTTTGGGGTAGTGTACTTGTATCCCCTTCTTACTAACCCAAAAAGGCACTACATCAGAGACTCCAGGTAATTTGCAAGCCAGAAGCTGCAGCAAGAGCAGACCAAGCTGAACAACCAAGGCTGCCAGAAAGTACGGTGAGAATCCTGGGGGTTTAGGGTTTAGGGTTTAGGGTTTAGGGTTTAGGGTTTAGGGTTTAGGGTTTAGGCTGTGGGTGGGGAGATGACTCTTGGGGACCGAATGAACCCTCAGATTGGGGCGCATACCCTAGGGGGTTTAGGGTTGGGGTTTAGGGATTATTTTTTTTTACAACAGGGTTTAGGGTTTAGGGTTTGGGGTTTAGGGCATCTACGAAGCTGATTGCGTAATCCCCTCCCACAAATGTTATAAAAGTGTTCGTCTGCAATGAAACAAACGCGTCAGACTGGGAAAAAGTATTTTTGTGAGGGGGCGGTTATTGCTGGGGAGAGACCCGGGAAAAAACCCGAAACCCAAAACCCTAAACTACAAGGAGAAAGGCTGGGAGTTAGACTGCCCTCACCCTTCGCAAGATCTCAGGTGAGCTAGGCAGCCCGTCTTCGAATCTTCTATCTACTATTTGCTTAAGAACCCCCCAACCCCCCCCCCCCCCCAAAAAAAAAAAAAAAAAAAAAAGATAACTTTCTACCTTATCTACTGTTCGCTTAAGACCCCCCCCCCCCCCGGAACAAAAAAAAAAACAAACATGAAGGATAATAATCCTTATCTACTATTTGCTTAAGAACCCCCCCCAAACAAAAAAACACAATCCTTACATTGCCTTTCAAAAGAATAACACGTTATGCTTAATCGTTTGGAGGTTCTTCAGCAACAAATAGCTATGTGAAGGGGAGGAGGTCTCTAGCGTGACACGGAAACGAAGGGGCCAAAGCCCTCAACCCTAAACTAAACCGCAACCCCCCAGAAGCCTGCAACTAAAAGTGGCCCCGTCCGGCCCCAGCGAGTTGCAAAACTGACTCTCACTGAACCGGTCGGAGCACAAAACTGGAACCAAGAAGGATATAAGGGGGCGGGGGGGGGGGGGGGGGGGGGGGGTTATGAGAGGGGTATAAGAGGAGGTACAGAAACGCCGGAACAGAAAAACCCTTTACTACCCTCGGATGTACAACAACATAGGAGGGGTTCCCAAGAATTAGGGGCCTGGTGTTTGAGGAGCAGAGGTGTTCGGAATGTAGAAGTGAACCTAAGTGCATTGCTGCTAGGATCTGTCACGGTTTCCGCCGCCTCCGCCAAAGTTACCATTGATACATCGCTTACTCTGGAAGGGAGGCGACAAGGCTTTGCGAAAAAAGACCATAAGCTCACCTCCAATGGCCGAATACAGCCACGAAAAGCGGAAAGCACAGGGCGCAGGACGTAAGAGTTGAATTTGAGTCCTGCAAGCGACGAACCTTTACACTCAAGCTCCATGATCAAGTCTAGACCAAGCTTCTCACGATGGCCATGCTCAATGTTGCTGTCATAACCCCCTGACAGGTGAAGACCCAAACGTAGGCGCAGAAGCTGCTGACGACCTCAAGGGCTTCGCGATGACTTGAGCAATACTCGGAGTTTCCCATGTAAGTGGAATAACTGTAGTTGTAAGTGGTTCCGTGGCATAATTCTCCTACAGTTACGGACTTGGCTCTGGCACGTAGCCCCTAAACCCCCTAAACCCCCCCAAACCGCCTGAACCCACCTAAGCCCGAACCCCTAAACCCCCTAGACTCCCGAACCCCCCCTAAACTCCCTAAACCCCCTAAACCCCGAAATCACAGCCAAAGCCACTGTGAGGCAGAGTTGGGTCGGATAGCTCGCGGAGAAGCTGAGGACGATCTTGACCTGAAGTTGGCTTGGTCTTAGTAGGGAAGGAGGAGAATGTTTAGGATTTAGGGTTTAGGGCTCTTCGTAGGGAATTCGGGAAATTAGGTACCCTCATTTTCCCCTAAAGGGTAGAGAAAAGGCCCTAGAGAAGGAGGGAATGAGGTACCCTACATTGATCCCTTGAAGGTACATATAGGGCCCGAATTCCCTCATTCCCTACTAAGCACCAGGAAGGGCAGGTACAAGGCTTGGGGAGTGTCAGTGGCGCTCTGGAGCTTCTGCTTCGAACTGTGGGCTCAGGGCGGTTTAGGGTTTAGGGTTGAGGGTTGAGGGTTGAGGGTTGAGGGTTTAGGGTTTAGGGCTTGAGACGGTCCTTCAAACGTGGACATGCGTGAGATTTCGCAGGCAATGGCTACATGTTCTAGATAAGAGACGCTTCCAAACCCTAAACCCTAAACCCTGAACTAAACCCCTAAACCCCTAAACCCCTAAACCCCTAAACCCCTGAACCCCTGAACCCCTGAACCCCTAAACCCCTAAACCCCTATAAACCCCCAAACCCCTAAACCCCCTAGACCCCTAAAACCCCTAAACCCCTAGACCCCTAAACCCCTAAACCCCAAACCCCAAACCCCTAACCCCCTAAACCCTAAATCCTACACCCTAAACCCTAAACCCTAACCCTAAACCCTAAACCCTAAACCCTAAACCCTAAACCCTGAACCCTAAACCCCTAACCACACCCCTTTTCCCTAAACCCTTTAAAGAGGCCTCAGGCCGAGTTCACTCTCAGCATGGACGGGGGAAGGTGGGCATGCTGACTTGGCAAAGCCTCTGTACCTACTATTTGCTTGGGGTTTAGGGTTTAGGGTTTAGGGTTTAGGGTTTAGGGTTTAGGGTTTAGGGTTTAGGGTTTAGGGTTTAGGGTTTAGGGTTTAGGGTTTAGGGTTTAGGGAGAACCCCAAAAGAATAAGAGATCATAATCCCTAAAGTACCCTTGATAAGGAAGAATATTTTGCTTTTGTTTGGGGGTTCTTCAGCAACTAGTAGGTACTTGAAGGCCTCATGGGCATAGTGTTTAGGGTTTGGGGTTTGGGGTTTGGGGTTTAGGCTTCTAACCCGATTTCAGGGTTTAGGTTTAGGGTTTAGAGCTCATGGGCAATTATAAGTAGGGTTATAAGAACCCGAATTCGGGGTTTAGGGTTTAGGGTTTAGGGTAGATATGCGGAACTTGGGTCAACAGCCATGTGGTTCACTGTCGAAAAAACTGCCCCTTCTTGCTCTTTAGGATGCCTTTATGTAGGGTGACTAGACCCAAGAGTAACTAGGAATAAAAAAGGGTGCCCTTTTTGGTTTAAAGGGGCGTATAAGGGACCCCTAAACCCTGAAAGCAAGGGAATAAGGGCCTACTCTGGGTCCTAGAGAAAGTGACCTAAACCCTAAACCCTAAACCCTAAACCCTAAACCCTAAACCCTGAACCCTGAACCCTGAACCCTGAACCCTGAGCTTCTGAGAGAGCGACCATTCGCAGCAACAGCGGGTGCGTGGTAGGGATGATGATCCAGAACCCCAACGCCCAGGCCAGCGCATTGGCGACCACATACCTGGGTTTAGGGTTTAGGGTTTAGGGTCTTGGAGGCTCAATTGTACATATAAGTGGCGTTGTAGGTGGGGTAACTATGGTTAGAAGTGGTTATAACCTTATTCTCGGTACTTCATAACCCTGCTTATATCCACCCGTGAACCTTCTCAAGTACCTTGGGGACCACATGAACCCTAAAAGGGGGGGGGGTCATATATCCTGTATACTAGAATCCCTCTTAAGGTGTATGAACCATAAACTTTTCTAGGGCTCTTTGCGACCCCAAGGTAGGAGTCTGTAGCTGCAGGCTGCGGGCCTGGCTACCCTCCGTGTGGGCTTGTTGTAGGTACTCTCTCCATCTGAGGGCTCTGATGTAACTCTTTTTGGGGTTACTTAACGGAGATTCTAGCATACTACTCAAAAAATCAGTACTACATAGGAGCCTCTGGGTAGCCCTGCATCTAGCCGAGTGGTCGGCCGGAGTAGTCTACAGATTCTATCGCTCGCCCCGCATCTCGACACCGTAAAAGATGTACATGGTCCGTTCTCCCCTAAACCCTAAACCCTAAACCCTAAACCCTAAAGTCCCCAATGAACGGCTACTTTGAGCTAGGGTCGCCAAGCACCTCATGAGTAGCCGGTGGCATTCAGGAGCAAATCCGGAGATGACTTTCCTGGAACCCCCCCCCCCCCCCACCCAAGCCCTAAAACCTGAATCGGGAGATGACCTTCCTAGAATCCCCCAAGCCCTAAACCTTGAACCCTAATCCGCAAAATCTCCAAAAGCCATTAAACCGGAAACTCCCAAAGCCCTGCACAGGTCACAAGCTAGCCAGGATGCTGTAGAGCTGTATTGCCCTTAAACCCTAAACTCCTAAACCCTAAACCCTATACGTCCCAGAAAACGGGTCATAAGTGGGCCAGGATGCTGTAGAGCCGTATCGTATCCTACCTGCTCGGCTGTGACGTCGCATGAGTTACCATCACAGCCAAGAACGCTCACCGCCGAGTAGAAGATCAGCGGCATGAAGCCTAACATAGGCTTAGGGTTTAGGGCTTAGGACTTAGGGTTTAGGCTTTGGGTGCAGGGGTTAGGGTGTAGGGTGTAGGTTTTAGGGTTTAGGGTTTGGGTTTAGAGGGGTTAGGGTTTGGGAGTGTGGTGATGATTGAGGTTCGTAAGGGCAGTGTGGGTGGAGTTGTTATGTCTAGTGCTTGAGCTACGACTGTATGTGAAAAGCGGGGATCTAGTGAATCGTTTATGCATTCTGTAAACGCGATATCTATATACACATTATATCTATTTCTATATATCTATATATCTATGCATATATATATATATATATGATACACGTCACATACTGATACAAATCTACAATCATTGAAATAGCGCTTACATGCACATCCCGCTTATACGCACATCTTGACGGTTCTTCTTTCAACGAGCTGCAAGTCCGGCGGCCACGGGGAGGAGGGGGGGTTTAGGGTTTAGGGTTTAAGGTTTTTTTTTTTTTTTTTGGGGGGGGGGGGGGGGGGCTCTGGGGGTTAGAGGGTTAGGGTTTAAGGTTTAGGGTTCTTTCCTTCTTTCTTTCTTCCCTTTCTGGTAGCTTCTTCTCTTTTCTTTCCTGCTTCATTTGCTCTTTGTTTTTCGCGCTCTGTCGGCCTACGCGCCCCTGGGCCCAGCATGGAGGTTGGCGCTGGAGCCAACATGCCCAGTCTCCGTGTAGAGGGTTGGGGTTTAGGGGTTAGGGTTTAGAGTTCAGGGTCTACTTCATCGCATATTTCTTGCAGTTTACTGGTGCTGACACAGCCCATTATTTATATCCCCCCCTCCCCCCAAAAAGGTGTAATTGCCTCCGGCCTCATGATGAAGCATGGTAGACCCTATAGATGCGAAGCATTGAATCCTGCATAGGCCCTTGCATGATGATGTCCCATCGTCCAGGACAACCTGGAACTACCAAAACACACACACACACACAAACACTGTGCTTGAAGGTTCATGGGTAGCTAAGTACGGGCAAAAACAACGAAAACAGGGTAACGGACCTGCAAGTATAAACCAAGCACGAGGAGCACAACATGCAAAGGCTCCAAGGCATATCAACCTCCTGCAGGCGGAGGGGTGATGGCCCGGCGGGTGTTTGCTTTTGGGGCTTTACTTGAAGGTTCATGGGTAGGGTAGTTCAATAACAGGTTCCCACATAGGTACCTTTCTTGAGGTACTCCTCCCCCCCGATTTTAAGGAGTCCGCCCCAAAATAATGGCGGCTGGTGGCTATTAGGGTTTAGGGTTCAGGGTCGGCCTTGTTTCTGCCTTGTAGCCGGAGTTCTGGTGACCGGTCAGGGAATCTTGGCACTAGGTTTCTCCGAACTCACTGGCAAGAACGTATTAACAGCCCGAAGGTTGTGAGTCAAGGGCTCCTGGCCGATAGTTTGGAGGACAGACTCGCGCAAAGGGCCGCGCACATAGAGGTTGAAGTTCATGAACCTGCCGTGGAAGGAGGGTCGTGAACTGGACTTCGAGCCCTGATGGAGGTTTGGGGTTTAGGGTTTAGGGTTAAGCTTCCATAGGGATGCTTTCAATGTGCAACAGCAACCTGATCTCAGCCGCTGCCGCGTCCCCTGGCAAGGTCTCCTCAAACCTCTTAAACAGAGGACTTAAACACCTTGATCGAAAGAGCTCGCGCCCAAACAACAGCCGGAAAGCCAAGAAAACGCCCCTATGCCCCAAACTACGCCCCTCTGCGCACCGAATGCTGCACCCAAGGTACCGCTTTCTCCGCTCCCTGCGCGTGAGCGACGTGCTGTTGTCGCGGGTAGCCCATGGGGCACGATTGTCGACGGGCGATGTCGGCGAGATGGGCGATTTGGGGTCCTCAGCTTCGCGTACTAGCCCTAAACCCTAAACCCTAAACCTTAGGATAAAGGAGGGCGCCCATATAAGGGAACCTGATCCCTACAAAACCACGGGAATAAGGGTTCTACTCTGGGCCCGAATCCGCAGGGTCCGTGTGCATCGTACTGGATGGAACTCCGAAAACTCCACGCAATAGGGTTTTTTGAGGTTTCCCGCACAAGAGTACATGCATGTACATGTATGTATATACATATATAGATAGATAGATACATACATTATACAGCACTACACATGGATCCTCTGGGGAAGCTCCGAACCCCTTGCAAGTGGGTGTTCTCCTTGAGGTCTGTAGCTTGAACCTGAGGGAGCTTCGACCCCTGAAATTCTGGATTTCAGCCTGAAGACCAAGCTGCTCAACCTGGTGGCGTAGCTGTTCCTACTGATACCCTAAACCCTAAAGCCTAAACCCTAAACCCTAGTCCAAACCATTAAACTGTTGGACACGGGTCCCACGCATTGGAGACCTCCACGTCGAAGAGTTCTAAGACCTTTGAACATCCGTGGCGAGTAAGGGTTTAGGGTTTGGGGTTTGGGGTTTAGGGTTTAGGGTTTAGGGTTTAGGGTTTAGGGATACACCCAAAGGCTGCTATGTAGTACCTTTTCGGGGTAGCATACCAAAATCCCCTACACCTACCCAGAAAGGAACTACATTGGAGCCTTCGGGTAGGGTTGAGGGCCCTCTCAGCTCTCGCTCTGCTGGATTTAGGGTTTAGGGTTTAGGGTTTAGGGTTTAGGGTTTATTACAAGTTCCCACCTCATTCTCGATGATTTCCCGGTCTGACTCCAGCGTACACTTGGCCTGGGCTCTCAGCTGGCGACAGAGGGACATTGAAGTAGGGTTTCTATTTCTTGTATCCCCAAAAGGACACCCGGTATATCCACTCAGCAATATTAAAAAGGAACCTTCTATACACTCACCAAAAACGGTAAGATAAACCCTGCTTCACATCCTGCAACTCAACTCCATGGGTTTAGGGTTTAGGGTTAGGGCTAGATCGCCAAAAACCTCGAGGCCCAGTTGAAGAGTACCCTGGGCCCAAAAGGTCAACGTTTCAATTGCGGTAGGATTCTATGTACCTCGAAAGGTTAAAGGTTACATACTCAAGAAAGGGACTTGACAAGGACTATTGCAGATGCAAGGCATTCCGGATGTCAAAACCGGCCATGTTCTTCAGCAGCTGCTCGTGCTGTTGAATCTTCCTGTTTGAGTCTGTTTGAGTTCTTGGAGGTTCATGGGTAGCTACAAGTGGTGTTGTAGTTATAAGTGGCTATAACCTTATGTATGGTACTTTAACCCCTACTTAGAACTACCCATGAACCTTCAAGTTAGGTGCAAGGTTGGGGAGCCATGATGGCCTTACCCAAAGCCACTCGCCCAAACTTCCAACATCAAACCTTTCGATTGGCGTCACCAGCTCTCACGTGACTCCCGCAGAAGAACATGTGCTAAAACTTGGGAACGACGGGTCGGGCGAGGCTTTTGGGCTACGGGCAGGGCTTCTAGGAGTCGTAGACTATGGCATGAGGTGGCCCATTTCTGCTGTGGTTCAAGAGAATGCGGCTGAGGATCTAAGTTCAGGTTGAGGGTTGAAGCGACGTGCCTCCTTTCTGCCCCCAAACCCAGAGGCTCCAAATCTACTCCTTGATTGCAGGTTGTTCTTCAATGATGTTCGGATTGAGGATAAACCCTAAACCCTAAACCCTATACCCTAAACCCTATACCCTAAACCCTAAACCCTAAACCCTAAACCCTAAACCGGATTTTTTCTCGTTACTTAACCGGTATTGGAATCTTCGGGAACGGCATCAACATCTGCGCTCATCCAAGAAGCTTCGAGCAAGTATGGTCTTTCTCGCGGTTAGGATTTAGGGTTTAGGGTTTAGGGTTGAGGGTTGAGGGTTGAGGGTCTAGGCTTTAGGGCTGCTTCTTTCTCTCCAAGCCACCTATAAACCTCCCTAACCCTCAACTCAAGATACCGTGCCTCACGTGATGGGAGAAACTCGGAAGGGATGCTGGCAGATAGCACATCCCCGGGAAGATCCTGAGCAAGGCCACAAGCTATAAAGCTTGGCTGCACTCAGGAGGGTAGCTATATATTAAACTTTTAGCTGCCTTACTAAGAAGCCCCAATAAACCCAACAAAAAGGTAAGGATCTAAAGTTGCGGTAAAGTACCACAAAGAAAGTTGCCGTCTCAAAAACTTAAACTGCCCCTTGGGCTGATTTGGGTTTCTCTAAAAAAAGCTTCACGAAACCCCCTTAAGCAGTTGAAGGTTTATAGCCGGCGCTGTCGGCGTCGGCACGGATGCCAGGCGATTGTTTGCGGGGTTTCGGGCTTGGGGCCCGAGGGTTCATTCAGCTGCTTTCACTTAAAAAGATAGAGCAAAACTGGATTCGGCCAATTTTAGGGTTTAGGGTTAGGGTTTAGGGTTTAGGGTGAGCTGCTGGGCCACTCCGGCAGTTGCTGCTCATGCTCTCAGCTAGGGGCTCAGGGGGGTTAGCTCAGTGACCCAAGCGCCAACACTCTCAGAAGTAGGGTTTAGGGTTTAGGGTTTAGGGTTTAGGGTTTAGGGTTTAGGGTTTAGGGTTTAGGGTTTAGAGAATTGAAAGGGGCCCACGTTTCTAAGCTCAACTGGGCCCAAACTCCTTCTGCTGACAAATCCGAGTGTCCAGGTCAGCATGACCACAAGAAAGAAGGTCAGGGTGGAGTACTGTCCGAAGGAATCTCGAATACCTTGGCAGTGCCGTCAACGCCAAAGTAGCTTGAAACAGCTGCGCTGAGAGGCCTAAGCGCGTATGCATGTGCGTCTGCACGTGTAAGTGTAGGTGTGCAAGTATGAAAAAGAGTATGTACTTAGGCGTGCATGTATATATATATGACACATATTGATACATACTTCTCAATCACCCGCATTCCTTTCCATTTCCTTGGAACTTGCTTTTGAACTTTCCTTTGTAAACTCCTCCTTTTCTCAACTTGCCTTTGCCCTTCAATGCTCCTAATTATGTCCTGGGCCTCTCCGATAGCAGTTTTGCGCATGGCCCAGTGAAATGTCTGCTCTTCGCATAGCGGTAGACAGAAGAGAAGAGAAGAGAAGATAAGAGGTAGATAAGAGGAAGAGAAGAGGAAGAGAGGAGGAAGAGAAGAGGAAGAGAAGAGGAAGAGAAGAGGAAGAGAAGAGGAAGAGAAGAGGAAGAGAAGAGGAAGAGAAGAGGAAGAGAAGAGGAAGAGAAGAGAAGAGGAAGAGAAGAGGAAGAGAAGAGGAAGAGAAGAGGAAGAGAAGAGGAAGAGAAGAGGAAGAGAAGAGGAAGAGAAGAGGAAGAGAAGAGAAGAGAAGAGAAGAGAAGAGAGAAGAGAGAAGGGAGAAGAGAGAAGAGCGGAGAAGAGCGGAGAGAGAGAGAGAGAGACGATGAGAAGAGTTGAGAAGACAAGAGAAGAGAGCGGAAGAGAAGGAGAAGATGAGGATCAGGGAAGGCGAGGAGAAAGAGTGTGAGCGAGCGAGCGAGAGTGTCCAGGCGCGCAGTGCATGCAGAAGCAGCCAGTCTGCACGTTGTTCTTGGAACCGTTTGTGACCATGCTTCAGACGTAATATAGAGGCACTAGGGTTTCGGGGGTAGGGTTTCGGGGGTTATTCTACGAGAATTCTAATTGGAGCAGAAAGGGGATACTATTCGTAAGTATTCCGACCCCTGTGGTACGCTCCAACCTGCGGTGCATGCCTGGGCTTCACCCCAAACCCTAAAACCTAATCCCTAAACCCTAAACCCTAAACCCTAAACCCCAAACCCCAAACCCTAAACCCTAAACCCTAAAACCCTAAACCCTAACCCTAAACCTGTGCTAAGGAGATTCGGCTGGTGAGATGATCCAGCGCAAAGGTTTCCAACGGCGGAGCGATGGTGATGCACACCACGTCCTTAGGCGGCAGTTCTAAGGGTGAGTTTAGGGTTTAGGGGTTTAGGGATTTAGGGGTTTAGGGTTTAGGGTTTAGGGTTTAGGGTTTAGGGATTAGGGTTTAGGGTTTAGGGCTAGTTACAAGGGCCCTGAATCTGATTCCTATGGGCCCTGAATTGTCTAGGGCATAGAAGGGGTATGTAAGGGGCCCCCTTTTTACTAAATACTCCCCTTAGAACCTTAAGAAAGACAATATTGTCAATATCCTCTTGGGTTTTATATATAAACATTTTTAAAATAATTCCCAAGGGGATAGAGTTTAAGGGCCCATACTAAGGGGCCATGAGACTACCCTAAGAGCAGTTCATCGCTGCACCGCTAGGCTGCATGCCGTGTTCCAGTGTGTTGGAGTCTGTGCAAGGATCTCAATGCCTCAATGCCCCTAAACCCTAAACCCTAAACCCTAAACCCTAAACCCTAAACCCTAAACCCTAAACCCTAAACCCTAAACCCTAAACATCCTCATCATGGATGACAAGGGCTGTACCCTGACTCGCACTCAGATCCTGAGGAGGTAGGGAGTCTTTTGAGGGGGGGGGGGGGGGGGGGGGGGGGGGGGCCCTGGAGGCTGAACTTTGACAAGTTGCCATGAAGATGGTGGACAAGATCCACGGAGTTAGCCACAAAGGCATGTACCTCAGGCATTTCAGAGACTGAGTTGGTTGACTGGGCTGGAGGTTCACGGGGTAGTTACAGCTAGGAGGTAGAAGTAGGGAGACGAGAATAAGAAGGGGTGCTGGGTACCCTCTCTGTATTCTTCCTATAACCTTACTTAACAACCCATGAACAAGAGCAGGGGACTCAGCTGGGGGCAAAGTGCATGAATAGTAGGGTAGTTAAAACCCTAAACCCTAAACCCTTCAGATGGTCCCTCTTCTCAAGGGTTCTGAGGAGCAGCCCTGAGGTTCCATAGGGTATGTTAGGGTTGTACAAGGCCTACCCAAGGAAAAGGAAGGGCGCATGCAAAGGGCCCTTGTCATGGGTTTAGGGTTTAGGGTTTAGGGTTTAGGGTTTAGGGTTTAGGGTTTAGGGTTTGGGGTTTAGGGTTTGGGGTTTGGGGTTTAGGGTATAGGGTTGGGGTAACCCTTGTCACTACCCCAAGACCGATGGTGATGAAAATCGCTGTATGGCTTGGACCGCTAGGCTCAAACTTCAACAAACACCAAGCTGCAAACCCCCCCCCCCCCCCGCAATATTGAATTAATTAGCATTTGACGAACAAAAGAATGGCGCTTCATGGACCCCAAAAACAACAAAGCGGCTTGCACAGGCAGATAGTAGACCTCTTCCCTGCCTTTCGATGTAGCTTGAGGGTTCACGGTTCAGGGTTTAGGGTTCATGCAGGGTGTAGGGTCGACCGGAAGAGCCTGACTGAAAACCTTGAAGCCATGCTGATCGCATTAATCGAACCCTAAACGTACTGGGTCTTAACAGGGAATGGGCGAATTAGATAACCTTGTATCCCCCGATCGTGTATATTCTGTAGGGGGCTGCATAGGGATCTAGCCCTCAGCCCGAAAATCCTAAACCCTAGAGCTCCAACGCCCTAAAGCCCTAAACCCCCAAGCTCCAAACCCCTGAAGCCCTCAACCCCCGCTTCTGTAGAATATATATATATATACATACATACATACATACATACATACATACATACATACACACATATATATATATATACATATATATTTTTTGTTTATTGATTTACGTATTTATTTGAAGTCCCCCCCGTGTACTTGCAAAAGAGGGCGCTGCACTGCCCTCGGATCGCGGGAGCTCTTTGCAAAAATTGCCAGCTCCAGGTTGCACCAAAGCCTCCAGGATCTTCGGTTTAGGGTTTAGGGTTTAGGGTTTAGGGTTTAGGGTTTAGGGTTTAGGGTTTTAGGTTCAGTGTAGGGTTTAACAGTGCATAGGGCTTAGCAAGGGCTTCTATGGGATAGGGCCCCTCGTCTTAGGCTTTTTTGGGGGTTTAATGTTGGTCCTGCTTTAGTGTGTCCCCCCGCCCGAACAGTCAAAGCTGGTTTTGGCTCTCTTTAAACGATCCACGGTTTTAATCTGACGGTAACAGGGAGGAGTTGGATATAAGCGCTGCACGAAATGTTGTCGTGACACACGACACCCGGACGATTTGACTTAAATGCGGACCCCACTCTGGACCCCTAAACAGTCACAGGGGCCTGAACAGCCCGGCAAGCTTGACATTAAGAGCGGGCCCCTACGGAAGCAGGTCCAACATGTCCACCATCCTTTCGTGGCGCCACTCCCCACATGTCTTCCTTCCGAGAAGTACCCGCAACCCTACAAGGGCCCACCTGAAGGCTCGAATGGGTAGTTCCTTTTTGGGCTTGCTACAGGGGATTCTAGTATCCTACCCAACAAGGTACTACCTAGGAGCCTTTGGGTAGGCCCTACAGCACTCTACCATGAACCCTACATATAAAACCTTGCGGAGTAAAAGCAGGGTTTAGGGTTTAGGGTTTAGGGTCCCAAACTAGCCCGCGGCACCGTTCGAAGTAGGTGTCGTCTCCGAGCACGAGCATGCGGCTGGAGTTCGCGACAAAGATGGGCCTGGTGTGCCACCAGCAAACTTAGGGTTTAGGGTTTAGGGTACTATAAACGATATAAGTGTCCATTGGCAGAACCACGCAAGTAATGCACGCATCTCTTCATCACAAGCTCCAAGGAATCCTAAACCCTAAACCCTAAACCCTCAACCCTACTGTAAACCCTAAACACTAAACCCTAAACCCTTGGCAAGTTTGGCAAGTTCTCTCGACTTGGAGCTACACATGCTTGCTACAAATTCCATGCACTCTCTGGGTGTGTCTACGTCGATTGAGCAAATAGGCATACGCTTAGGGTCTAGTCTAGGGTTTAGTAGGTTAGGGTTTAGGGATTAGAGGAACCCTTGCTGAGGCTGATGAATTTGGGTTGTAACTTGCAAACTGGCACGAGTCGCAGTGCGGCGATGGTCTTTGCCTTCATGTCCTGCCATCATTGGTCAAAAGCAGAGCATCGCGGCATGAGCCTTTGTGACTAATGCATTTAGCGGGCTTATGAGGATCATCTCGTCCTCAAGGACAGTACGGACTCGTGTCACCAGACTCTCACGTGCGAGAAACGCAGTTGCTCTGAAACATCTTATTAGGGTCTGGCAAGACCTGATAAGAGCCGAGATCGGCATAGTAGCAGAGGTTGAGGTACGTAGGAACCTTGATGAAAAACTTGCTCAAACCAATCTTTGATAGAAAAAATCAGGTTTCGAAGCGCTTCGGAAACCTCTTAAACAATAGGAACTTCCTGAAGGCTCTAATGTAATTCCTTTTTGGGTTAGTTAGAGTGGATTCTAGTCTACTACCCAATAAAAGGTACTATATAGGAGCCTCTGGAGTTGAACAACATGAAACTTCAAAACGCCCAGGATGCTCCAGAGGCCAGGGCGCCAGGAACTTTCAACACTTTAAAGAATCTAAAAACATCGGGCCTGTTCGAAATCAATTTTCCAAACAAATGGAGCCTCCCCCCTGCTTTCTTGCACCAAGGATTTTGAAAACTGCCCTAAGCCCTTAAACTCTAAACCCTAAGCCCTAAGCCCCAAACCCTAAACGCGGGAAACCCCAAGAGGCCCCGGAGCGCCTCTCGCCTGCATCCCACTGAAGCTCCCGGGTTTTCCCCAAAGGGTATGTACAGCCACTAGCACCCGAACGTGGGTTTAGGGTTTTGGGTTTATAGGGTTTATAGGGTTTATAGGGTTGATAGGGTTTAGGGTTTCCTCTTTCAGCTCATGGGATGCTCGGGCGGGCTTGGCTGAGCTGTTCGGGGTTGACAGCTGTCATAAAGCTGAAAATGAAGACCATAACCCTAACATCCCCCCCCCCCTCTCGGTTTAGGGTTTAGGGTTTAGGGTTTAGGGTTTAGGGTTTAGGGTTTAGGGTTTAGGGTTTAGGGTTTAGGGTTTAGGGTTTAGGGTTTAGGGTTTAGGGAGACGAAAACTCTAAACCACCGGACGCCTCAAACATCCAAAGCCCTCGATCCCTCCAAACCTATCTCCAAAACCCTTCCTCGTCGTGCTGCTGGACGCAAAGCCGGTCGAACCAAAGAGACGGCGAAAAGTGCCCGCGAGTAATGGTCTGCCCAAACCTGCAGTGCAGTGGGCTTAGGAGGCAGATATTATGGTTTAGGGTTTAGGGTTTAGGGTTTGAGTCCCAGAAATGAAAGGGCGTCGGGTCTAGGGCTTATTATAGTATCGAACTACAAGTACCATGCTTAGACGAATTGCATCCGGGAGCGGATGCGCGAGCAACAGGGGGGGTCGTACCCCAGGGACATCCACCGAAATCTTCCCCCCGCCCCCCACGTAAGTCAGGAGTAAGTTGGTTTCCCAAACTCGCTGCATTCCACATCACGAACAAGTTGGGCTCATAGTTGTGATCCTTTATTCTAGTCGTTACAAGAATTACACTTCAAAGGAAGTTGTGGCTAGGCCGCGGCAATAACCCGCGGCGCCGCTCCCTGAATCGCAACGCTGTGCAACTCAACTCGGCGAAGGGTCGCCTTTGCTTAGTTGCAGAGTTCGTAAACCCTAAACCCTAAACCCTAAACCCTAAACCCTGAACCAGAAGCCCCAAAAAAAGTGTACACTTTCAGTTTTGTAGGGGGGGTTTATAGTATCCCCCAAAAAGTGTAAAGTGTACTCAGCTACTAAGTTTGCGGAAGCCCCCCCCACATGCCGATTTCAGACTTCACCCTAAGGGTCCATGTACCTAAATAGGGAATACTTGGGCCTTAAAGTATCTCCTATATAAAAACTTTGGGGCCCAAGTATACAATAATAACGTACATGGACCCTTAGGGTCAACTTCATCAGACCTTCCTTACCCCCGAACTCCCCCCACCCGGCCCCTTGCATGGCAGCGCGTCATCTCTTTAGGGTTTAGGGTTTAGGGTTTAGGGTTTAGGGTTTAGGGTTTAGGGGGGTTGGGGGGGTTGCGGGGGAGATAAGGTGAATTTTAGGGGGGTTTGGGAGAAGATGGGGCTTAGCAAAGGCATTCAAGCGTGCCAAGGGCCCTACACCCTAAACAATGTTGGCTTAAGGTTTAGGGTTTAGGGATTAGGGTTTAGGGTAAACTTACCCTAAACCCTAAACCCTAAACCCTAAACCCTAAACCGACAGGGTTTCAGGGTCACTAAGGGCTCAGAGTTGCGTCATCCTAGCAGAAACGAGGTCATGAAGTTGAAAGTGGAGGTTTGAGGTGGCGGTGGTTCACCTTAGCTGTTTTTTAGTCCAGGGTACAGCAACACTACCACGAAGACGCCCACGGGCAGGTACACCAACACGGCGGTGAGCCATAGCATGTCAGTACCTCCGACATCCCTGGACCCTAAGCCCTAAACCCTAAACCCTAAATCCTAAACCCTAAACCCTAAAACTCAGCTTACTGCAGCTGGAACCCAAAGACTCCACTGATCGTACTGGGACACAAGGGGTCCATTCACAGTTCTGGAATGAAGTACTAGGGTTTCGGGTTTAGGGTAAACAAGGCTGGTGCATCGTAGCATTGCTACAAGTATGGACCCTACTTATGGCCTAGCAAGCCCTGAACCCTAAACCCGAAACCCTGAACTCTAAACGCATCCCAAAGGCCCCGGGGTTTGGGGGTCTAAGGTTTACGGTTTAAGGTTTAGGGGTTTAGGGGTTTAGGGGTTTAGGGGTTTAGGGGTTTAGGGGTTTAGGGGTTTAGGGGTTTAGGGGTTTAGGGGTTTAGGGTTTAGGGGTTTAGGGTTTAGGGGTTACGGTCTAGGGACAGCTTGGGGTGGCTGGCTTCCCTATTAGTGATCAGGGTCGTGTAAGAGGCTTCGAAAAGCCCGAACACTGTTGATCACACGCTTCTGCAAAGAGCAGAACTACCCACCTCTGACTGGCCTTTAGGTATGCAATCTCAGGACAGCACGCAACATCTTAAAATCTCTAGACCCTGACCCTAAACCCTAAAACCCTAAACCTCTTAACCCTAAACCTTAGCCCTACACCCTAGACCCTAAACCCTAAGACCCTAGACCCTAAACCCTGGCCATAAACCCTAACCCTACCTGAATCTCCAGACCCTGAACCCTAAACCCTAAACCCTAAACCCGAAACCCTGGCAACACCAGGCCTCCGAGACTGTAGGGCCCCCCTCTTGAGAGAACCAGCACCATGCCTGGGGGGTTTAGGGTTTAGGGTTTAGGGTTTAGGGTTTAGGGTTTAGGGTTTAGGGTTTAGGGTTTAGGGTTTAGGGTTTAGGGTTTAGGGTTTAGAGATGTAGGTGCAACTCCAGATTAGTAGGGGATGGGAGAAGAGGGTTGTTGTTCTTCTTCTTTTCATGGTTTGATTTCTTGGGCTGGTTGAGGGCTGATAAGGGTTATTTCGGGTCTTAGCTCTTCGGATCTTGGGGTCTTGGACCTTAGGGTTTAGGGTTTAGGGTTTAGGGTTTAGGGTTTAGGGTTTAGGGTTTAGGGTTAGGGAACCCTCAACCCTCAACCCTAAACCCTATTTGTGTTTCGGTGCATTTTGGGAGTACATGCCTATATGAGCCCTAAGACAACCATACTCTGAGGAGTGGCCTTTACTACAACTGTTGTACATGGTAGAGGAAACTAGCGCATGCCGCAGGAACAAGAAACCCTAAACTGGCCCTAAACCCTAAACCCTAAACCCTAAACCCTAAACCCTAAACCCTAAACCCTAAACCCTAAACCCTAAACCCTTAAAACCTAAACCCCCCAAAGCCTTAAACGGCCATTGAGCCAAGGTGCATAGACCGATCCACACTCCCACAGCAGCCTGCGCAACTTGGGTGGATTCCGAAATTGGGGGGGGGGGGGGTACCTTCTTGGGGTTTAGGGTTTAGGGTTTAGGGTTTAGGGTTTAGGGTTTAGGGGGGTCCTTATTGCAAGGGGATCCTTCTATTTGGGGTCTATTCGCGGATTCCGCGATTTCCGTCAAGCCCCACTTCGATGGGGTTTAGGGTTTAGGGTTTAGGGTTTAGGGTTTAGGGTTTAGGGTTTAGGGTTTAGGGTTTAGGGTTTAGGGTGCTCTACATCATGCCTGGAGATCCTAGTTGCACCCCACCAAACCCACGCAAAAAAAAAAAAAGTCAACAAAACAGCAAAGCCAGTTTAGGGTTTAGGGTTTAGGGTTTTAGGGTTTAGGGTTTAGGGTTTAGGGTTTAGGGTTTAGGGTTTAGGGTTTAGGATTTAGGATTTAGGATTTAGGGAACCTACCACATGGGTGCGTCCCCCCCAAACCCCAAACCCCGAGCCCCACACCATCTTCCGCTGGACTTGATGCTTGAAAGATGGGATGCTCCCCCTTATACTAACAGTCGTTGAAAGGGATGATGGTATCCCCTGCTAGAATCCCTATTAAGGACTGTTCGTATAAGGGGGAACATCCGAGCTGAACGTGCTGAAAAACCCTCTACTTGCTAGCCCAGTAACCATAATATGACAAGGGCACCCATTTTTTGGGTTGGTTATACTTCATAAGGGAAACGCCTAAACCCTAAACCCTTAACCCCAAACCCCAAACCCCAGACCCTAAACCCTAAACCCAAAAAAGGGTAAAAAGGGCACCACTGGGCTACCAAGTCTACCGGACGTGTCAGGGCCTTCACCGCCATGCGCATGTTCAGGAACAAGCACAAGGCCAGAACTTTCCTGCGCCACGGGCTGTAGGGTTTATGGGGTTTAGGGTTTAGGGTTTAGAATTTTGGGTTTTCGGGTTTAGGGTTGGTCCTCTGAAGGTTCCTATAGAGTAAGAATTCTGGTGGTTTCGGGGTACATGAGACGGCCTCCTACTCTGGGCATGTTCGTGTCGGGTCGAGTGGGTTGGGGACAGGGCTTTCAGTGTGTACCTGGACGCTTAGTTTAGGGTCTACCCAAAGCTCCAGTGCAGTTTCCTTTTTGGGTTAGTCATGGGGGATCTTAGTATGCTACCCCAAAAA